CCGTCTTTGTCACCTTTCCAGGAGACATTCCCAAAAACATGACTGATTCGGAGCTGGCAGAAGTAAGTATGAGGGCTATTTTATTCAGACAGAATAAAATTGCATAAGTGGGATATTTGCAGAAAGACAGTGTAAATACAGATAAAGTTAATTTCTGCAGAAGGATTGTAACAGTAACACAGTAATGTTGGTTTGTCGTGTTCTCCTTCCAGAATTACCTAAAGAACTTCGGCTACATGAATACTGTGGAACGCAGTGGCTTCCAGTCTATGGTGTCCACCGCCAAGGCTCTGAAGAGGATGCAGAATCAGCTGGGGCTGGAGGAGACTGGGGTGCTGGATAAAGAAACCCTGGATGCTATGAAAAAACCTCGCTGCGGAGTTCCTGATGTGGCCAACTATCAAACCTTTGCAGGAGACCTCAAGTGGGACCACAAAGATGTTACTTATAGGTGAGCAAGAAAAAAAAGTCACTGAGTTCACTATGTAAGGGGCGGACTGTGCAACGAAGTTCTGACTGTGTATGTTATTTTATCTCCTCCACAGGATCCTTAACTATTCCCCAGACATGGATAGCGCTATCATTGACGATGCTTTTGCCAGAGCGTTTAAGGTGTGGAGTGATGTGACCCCTCTGACTTTTACCCGTCTCTATGACGGCACGGCTGACATCATGATATCGTTTGGGAAAAAGGGTAATGTGCTTTACGATGGTCGTTTGATTTGTTTTATGCGCGCTGACGCAACATAGTTGCATAGAAAACCAAACACTAATGTGAAGTGCACATTTCTATTCAGACCACGGAGACCCCTACCCATTTGATGGTAAGGATGGCCTTCTAGCCCATGCCTACCCCCCTGGTGAGGGTATTCAGGGAGACGCCCACTTCGACGATGATGAGTTCTGGACCTTGGGGAAAGGAGCAGGTAATTAGAAACACCGGCAACAAGCATTTGTCTCCCCCTAGTGTTCACTTTAAATGTAATTAAATGTCCGGTCTCTTCTGTCTATATAGTTGTGAAGACTCACTTTGGAAATGCGAATGGCGCCACGTGCCACTTTCCCTTCAGTTTTGAGGGCAAATCTTACTCCACCTGCACCACACAGGGCCGCACAGACAATCTGCCATGGTGTTCCACCACAGCTGACTACGACAAGGACAAGAAATATGGCTTCTGCCCAAGTGAACGTAAGCTTGACACTGTATTCTCCAAGGCAAATCACATGGTCACCCAGATAAGCGGATTTGCTTTTGTGACATGCTGACTTCTATTCTCTTTTCATCCTAACAGTTCTATACACTTTTGATGGAAATGCTGGTGGAGCTCCATGTGTTTTCCCTTTCACCTTTCTGGGGGAGGAGTATGACAGCTGTACCACAGAGGGCCGCAGTGATGGTTACCGCTGGTGTGCCACCACAGGCAACTTTGACCAGGATAAGAAATATGGATTCTGTCCCAGTCGTGGTGAGGGAACACATAAACCACAACACATAAATGCAGTGCAGTGCTGCCACAGTGCCTTGTTATTTTTGTTTAACTGCTGCTGTTATGTCTCTGTTTATCCAGATATAGCTGTAATTGGTGGAAATTCTGAGGGAGATCCCTGCCACTTCCCCTTTGTGTTCCTGGGTAAGGAGTATCACTCATGCACAAGTGAGGGACGAGGAGATGGCAAGCTGTGGTGCAGCACCACTGACAGCTATGATGATGACCAGAAATGGGGCTTCTGTCCTGACCAGGGTGAGCAACAAACACAAGGCAGAAAAAAAGAGGAGGTTAAAATGAATCATTAGTCATTAATAATATTTAATATATTTGTTACAGGTTATAGTCTGTTCCTGGTGGCTGCCCACGAATTTGGACATGCTCTTGGCCTGGATCACTCCAACATTAGAGAAGCTCTCATGTACCCCATGTACAGCTATGCTGAAGACTTCTCCTTGCATAGCGATGACATTAGCGGCATTCAGTATCTCTATGGTAAGCGTTTCTTCTTAGCATGCGGCATTAAAGTGTTAATGTACCTAACTTCGCAGCAATATCTCTCATGAAACTATATATTTTTTCAGGAAGTAGAACTGGCCCTGTGCCCACCCCACCTAACCCCAAACCGCCTACCGCTGAGCCCACTGAGCCGACTGATCCCACCACCACCACCACTACTGCAGTACCTGTGGATCCAACCAAAGATGCCTGCAAGCAGGACACATTTGACACCATCACTGTGATTCAAGGAGAACTACATTTCTTCAAGGATGGGTGAGCAGCTTACTCATCCTACTTTATCGCATTCTTCTTTTCCAAACAAGTAAAAACAAGATTTCCAAGCACATGAAATGTTACATTTTGTGTGTCAATTTTATAGACATTACTGGAAGATGTCCGGGAGCAGCAATGCAGGGCCCTTTTCTATTTCTAACAAGTGGCCTGCTCTTCCAGCTGTCATCGACTCTGCCTTTGAGGATAGTCTGACCAAGAAATTGTACTTCTTCTCAGGTAATGAACCCTCATGCAATGTTTAACAGCCTGTATTAGCCAACAGTGCTGACGGTCTAATAATGATCATTTTATTGTTTACAGGGAGCAGATTCTGGGTTTACACAGGACAGAATGTTCTGGGTCCCCGCAGCATTGAGAAACTAGGCCTGCCCAACAACATTCAGAAAGTGGAGGGAGCTCTGCAGAGGGGGAAAGGCAAAGTGCTGCTCTTCAGTGGGGAGAACTTCTGGAGGTAGGTTAAAACTCAGCCTTGACAGTCCTGAATTTAAGAGAAAACTGCTACTTTTTTTGCCATTTTAATGACATTTTCTCTCTTTGTTTTGTTTGATCTAAACAGGCTGGATGTGAAGGCCCAGACAATTGACAAGGGCTATCCAAAGTTTACTGATGTTGTCTTTGGTGGTATCCCCAGTGATGCTCATGATGTATTCCAGTACCAAGGTAAATAAACTACAAAATGTAAATTTTCTCTTAAGTTTAAGGGGGAAAAGCCCCCCAAAACATAAAAAAAAACAGCAGTAGAGCACTTTAGGGTGTTTGCTTTAATTTATATTAACTTCATTATTTTCCTTATAGGTCACACTTACTTCTGCCGGGATCGCTTCTACTGGCGTATGAATTCCCGCAGGCAGGTGGACCGTGTTGGCTATGTCAAATATGACCTGCTCAAGTGCTCATCAGACACCCGCTACTGAATACACACATACTGAGCTGGGAATTGTAATGTGGTGGTACCCATTTCTCCCAGCTGCTGTCTGGCAGAATGTGACAGTGTTTTTGTGTAGCACCTGCTGTGCTGATTTACGTGCTTTCTGGGATGTGAATAATTGTCTTTCAGTCATACTGGTTATAAAACATGTAGCACCGGCCTAAAAATGTGCCAAAGTCCCAGTACACTAGAGCAAATTGCAATGTTTGGCACTGCCTTCCCTCAGTCTGATTGTCTGTGAACTGATGGTTATGGTGGCCTATAACAGAAACTTAATTATTCTTAACAGCGCTCTGGCTCAGACCCCGGAGCTGCAAAATAATTACCATGTCTGACAGGCTCAGACTATTAACAGTATTAGATTATTTTGATATTTATAGCAATATCTAACATTAATATTATTTTTGTCTCAAACTTATTTGTTTTGTACGATTATTGTGTGTTTTTCTGAAAATGGCTTCAGAGCCAATTACTTGCACTGGAAGACAAGGTATGTCTCCTACACATAAATTATTTAAGAGGTTTAATACATTTTGTAGGGATGCACCAAATATTTTCTTTACTGATACTGATATGATCAAAATTTGAAGTTTGCCAATAGCCGATGTTTTTGTTTTGATTGTATTGGTTTATTATTTATTCACCCTTTGTGCAAAGAAAACAAAGAACTGCCATTGTTAAAAATAACAGTTCATTACTTTATCTTTGAATATTAATCTGTTTAGCCATCAAAATTGATGCGATACAAGAGATATCATGAACTAGTATCAGTGATTGCCATCTTGTTTGTGATAGGCCAGTGGAAGTCAATGAGACCGATATCAATCGATATTAATATGTTGATGTATCCCTAAATGTTTCTATCAAAGTCTTGCCTATCAATGCAATAAACTTTCTGTGAAAACAATTTAACCCTGTGAGCAGTATTAATCATTCACTAAAAACACACTGAAATGCTTTGAAGACAATTCAAGACAGCTAAAACATACACAGTGAAAAGTGTACACACTTGTGTTAAAATGCCAGAAAAAATAAGAGCACAATAAATCATTTCAAAACCCCTCTTACCTTTGATGTGACATATAAACCAAACAATTCAAATTAAAAAACAAACAAATATGTTACAGAAAAAAATATTTTTTTAAAAACTAAACAATACAATGAGCTTATTGCATAAGTGTAGACACCCTTCAAGTAATGCTTGGTTGAAGCGTCTTGAGTAAACAGCCCCCCCCCGATCAATTTAAAAGACTCCGATTAACCCCAATTAAAGTTCAGCTGCCCTGGGAGGATTTTCTTGGCATTTACTCAGTTGTAAGAAAAGTCATGTTTTGTAAAGAGCTTACAAAGCATCAAAGGGATCTCACTGGTGAAAAGTATCAGTTACTACAAAAATAAAAATACAAAAATAAGGCCGGAGAAAATATGGGACAACACTGACATTGCAAAGAACTGAATGACCCCCCTAAAAATTAATTCAAAGATGAAAACTGGTCAGGGAGAATTTCAAGAGACCAATAGTAACACTGAAGAAGCTGCAGAAGTAGAAGTATTGACAGAAGTGGTCAATACTTGGTTTGGAGCATATCTGATTTATGAATATGAAATTTTCCTACAAGCAGCAAAAATTGAATGCAGTATGTTAGGTTTTTAATTATCATTTCCTCAGTTTTTGTCCAATATATTGCTGTACATCATTCCAAAACATTTTGACACACACACACACAACAAGAATAATTAATATCGAGGGTCAGTGTTTGTCCTTTATAGGAATATTGCTTTTTAGTGACACTGCCTTCACAAATCAGCATTGGTAATTTATTCCATTTGACTGGTTGGAGAGACATTATGCTTTCATACAAGATTCCACACTAGAAGAGCTTGTTTATGAAAACTAGAACATTTCACAGGTAGCTTCTCTGTTTTATAATCAATATTTAAGCAAAAATTTAACCCCACCCATCAAACATGGTAAAACATGGTTTAGAAATGTGTTCCAAAACATATCTTTGACACTGAGTAAGTTGGTTAACCATTTCGCTTTAAATGAATTAGTTTGCATTATGAAACTTAAAGGTTTAGTGTGCACGCATATTACTCCGCACCCAATTACGTAATACGTCTTCCTCTTAAAAACAATAGTCCACTCAATGAGTAAAAACATAGTAATATCTCACGAATATTTGCAACAACCAAAAACGATCAAGTGATTATTAGAAATAAAATGTTGAAGTTAATAAAAAAATATTAAGACTGGTTAAAACAAAAAGCTCCGTTTTGAATAAAAACAATAAATAAGATCCGGTTGCACGGACAGGAAGCGAGGAGATACTCATGGTGCCCGACTAGAATGAAGCAACAATTATCGGTTAGTAACTTCTGTTCGAATTAGCGCCTCCACACCAAAGGACACCCTACTACTCGAAAATATACGGTAAGAAAAAAGAGCTGCGATTCTCCTGCCGAAGATGGAAATTGTTTTTATTTTCTTCAGGGAGAGAATTTGGGCGGTCTGCCGCAGCGGAGGCCCTCGAGGTCCCCAGTAGAGCTTTCAGAATGCCTGAATGGAAAAGTGGGTTAGTTGGTATAAAATGGCGACGCGGAGCAGGCAGGATGAAGGGCAGCTAGGCCCGTTTAAAAAAGGCTAACGCATGCTATTTTGCATCACGTAACACCCGATATGGCGACTTAGCAGAAGCATTTAGGTTATAACTGTACTGTGCTGCTCAAACACAAGTTCTATGATTGTAAGTGTCGGTTGTTAGCCCCACAAAAGCCCGACGTTAAGCGAACAGCAGTGCTGGTTAGCTATATGGAAGCTAGCCAGTTAGCTGTTTTGGTCGTGAGCAAGTTTATAAAAAACTTTGTTCCTGGGTCTTCAACAAATTATGATAGTGTGAAAATCACAAGAGTTTCTTTCCCTGAATCAAGATACCCATGATATTTACTAAAAATAAAGAGTCAAAAGATACGATGTTAACAGAAGCAAAAGGCTTTGGGGTAAATGCTCAGAAACAAACTCACTTGCACGTAATGCCTTTTAGTTAAACTGTGTAACAATATCAAGCACTGCAGTGGTTGCTGCAATGGAAAGCTACTACAGTACACATTATCTGAACATAGTCTGCTATAACAAATGAAGTCATATTTAACTCTAACCAGTAAAGAAGTATAAAGTTTATGAAAACTAACAATCTATCGGAACTACACCTAAGCAAACTATTAGTGTGCACTGCTCAGTTTGGTCTTTCCAACTAAATGCAAACTATAGAGAGTTCAATCTGACCTTGGAAACAGAGAAGTGACCACAAAACCTTCAGAGGTCATTTAGAGTTGGCTCTGATTGACAGGAGTTAGGCAGTATACAAGTTATGATCCACTGCAACAGCCTTATTCAGCAAATACACTCTTACTTAAATACAGTTGATTAAGTTAGACAATTTTTTTTCAGCCCCTAATGTCCGCAGGTCTTACTGGTTTTAAAGTTATGAAATACGTTGCTGTTTAACTCCATATAACATAGCTTAGAGTGTCTAAATTTTAAAAACAAATAGTGATCTTCCTTCGTACTTAAACTATGTGCAAGTTGCATATATCTATATATACAGTACTTGTATGGATATTCAAGGTATGTTTAAGAGATGACACCTTAGATTTACAGTACAGTAGTATGGTAGTGTAGATCTATTTTTTTTTTGGAAAATAGAAATAGGTGGAGTAGTTTGGTTAATTTTTTTTGTTTCATTCTTGTGGATAGTTATGGATTTGGAGGAAAATGAGGTGGAGAGCAGCAGTGATGCAGGTCCCTCAGGGATGGAGGAGCCATCTGAAAGTGGCATGGGAATGGAGTCATCAGAGGCGATGTCTGCAGACAGCAGTGATGCTGCTGCTTCTCATGCACAGGCCCCAGAGTCTGACTGCCATGTTGGACAGAGCTCGGAGGGACTTGTGGTAAGTTAAAAATACAGTGTGGTTAAACAAAACAAAATAAAACAAAAAAAAAACAACAGCGATGAATGTAGCTTTTTAATCTGTAAGTTTCCAGATGTCATCCTTTCTTTCCCTCACTCTTAAGGTGTTCATCCCAGAAACAAGCTCTAGCACAGATGTCAGAGTTTCATCGGTCCATCTTCCAGACTCCTCTTCAGTGGCCCAGTCCACCAGTGTGTCCAGTGTCTCCACGGTGACTCAGTCGGTGCTTGTGTCTGAGTCAGCTCAAGTGCTGGTCCACTCGAGTGCTGTCTCTGAAGGGGCTATGATGGTTTCTGACTCAACTGCTTCTACCTCATCAGATCTGGGGTCTGCCATTGACAAGATCATAGAATCCACCATCGGCCCCGATATCATGAATGGTATATGTTTTTAATGACTCTTCGTTTTCCATCATGTCCTGACAAGAGAACGATGAACTTGTCTTATGTTGAAAACTTTATGGCATGAGATTTTATATCTTTTTCTTTTAGGTTGTATAGCTGTGACCAGTGCAGAAGATGGGGGTGCAGAAACAACCCAGTATCTAATACTACAAGGTCCAGATGACGGTAAGTGGGGTGTTCCTGCTAACTTATCATCTTTCAATTGGCCAGAATAATTTAAAATAATAATTCTGATAAATGACTCTTATATGTTTTATATTTGTTTACAGTGCTTGTAAATGTCATGTATGTATGAATTGAATGCTTTAATTTGATCTTTATCCACTAGCAAAATAATTTTTACATTAGAAATGTGTTTATATTTTAAAGCAATATACATTTATATTGTTATACTTAAAATCTGTTTAGGCTGATGACAACAAAGTTAAACAAAGTTCAGGAATATTTTTTTAATCATTTCCTTGTTTATTGGTGCAGGTGCTCCTATGGTAGCTCAGATGTCATCTTCTGCCCTGTCCAATCGTATAGCAATAGAAGCTCTTGCCGAAGGTCCCACATCCACCTGTCTTGACCAGAGAGACCTGCAAGGCAATGTTGAGCCTGACCAGCCCGATGATCAGCCTGGACATTCAGGTTACTTAGAAGACAGCAGCAGCCAGCCTGACCAGCCACAGCACTCCCACCCCTCCCAGTACATGGACTGCAGTGCAGATGGTCCAGACCAGACAGAGGAATCTTCATCTTCCTATGTGGAGTGTTCAGGCGAGGAACCTGACCAGACACGCTCCCGTTCAGGCTTCCCTGACTATAGTGGGAATAACAGTGACCAGGATCTGCCTGGTTATGTGGGGTGCAGTGGAGCTGACTCAAATCCTACCAGCCGAAGTCACTATGTGGTGGAGTGCAGTGCTGGGTATCCTGGGCGTGCAGTGGATGACGGGGAGCGGCCACATCATTCACGCAGTTACATTGACAGTAGTGCAGATCACCGGACTCAGACAAGTCGTCAGTATGCGACTGAGTATGGTGGGGAATGTATTGTAGCTGCAGACTCTGAGCAGCCAGGTTGTTCTCGTTACCAAGCGGAGGACGACGATGATGAAGATGATGATCAGAACCAGGATCCAGATCAGCCACAGCACTCTCAACAGCAGCCCCAGCACTCCTGTTATATGGAGAGCAGCAATGGCCCAGAGGCTTCTCTCTATACTGACGACAGTTCCTCTTCAGACCATCCTCTGGCAGACACGGCAGGTTCAGGTGGGCTTCCAGAGGCACTGGAAGGCAGCGAGAGCCAGCCGGGCCCATTCATCAGCAGCAGTGGGACCTATACCTCTAATGCAGAACCTGAGCTGGCCCAGCACTGCTCACCCAGCAAAGAGGAGCCCCAAGGCTCTCAGGATGAAGCTGGGCTCGGCAGGGACATGGAGACATCAACTGTAGCAGAAGGCTCTGGAGAACGACCACCAAACCTGGCTGAGTTAGAGGAAATGATGGAGGTAGTGATCGTGCAGCAGTTCAAGTGTAAAATGTGTCCATACAAGAGTGCCTCCAAAGATACTCTTATCAACCACATGAGAGACAAACACTTCAAACCTGCAGGTAAGCTAGCAGAATAATAGCCATGACATTGTTATCTCACCAAGCTTGGTAGTATATAGATAAAATGTCTTTTCTTTTTTTTTTCCTTTTTTTTTCTTTTTACAATTTTAGGGGAAATGCCAAAGAAGCGTAAACGTGGACGACCTCCTAAAAGTGAGACCTTAGCCCGTCAAAAGGCAGAGAGGGAGGAGGCAGCAAAGATGAAGGCTGCAGAGTCCCAGCAAGCAGCAGAAGAAGAGGAGGATGACGTTGTGGATGATGGTGCTATTGATGATCCTGAAAGTTAGTGAAAAAGACATAGATGTAATATGCAAATTTCTGTCTTTGAATAGATTATAACATTAATACTTTTCTTGTTAATGAGCATTTACTCAATCACATAGCTCTCACTGTCATTTCCACTTATCCCTCACACTGATTAAAAATAATCTGTCTCCAGAGGACAGCGACTACAACCCAGCTGATGAAGATTCCAAAGGAAGACCACCTGCCATTCTGAAAAAGTCAGCAACTCCCACTTCCTCCTCCTCTTCTCCTCAAGGGCGTCCCCGACGTAAAGCTGGCCGTCCAAGGAAGTACTCAATTGTAGATGAAGGCTACAGCAGCAAAGGTGAGTTTTCAGCCTATCACTGCGAGCCTAGAGAGCCTACATGCAAAACCTTAGGCAAATATATTCTCCTTTTTCCGCTTTTGTTGCAGAAGCAGAAAGTATTGCTAAGAAGCCTAGGGTTTGTTCGGATGCTAATGAGTCTGAAGAGGCAAGCTCTTCAGGCCTAGACAATAGTGCACCCACGGTGACTGATGGAGATGCACCTGAGGCAGTAATTAGCCAGTCAGACTCTGAGAACAAAGATCCTTCATCCAACCAACGGACGGAGGTGGAGTACTTCCCAAGAAAACGTGGCAGACCATCCCGGCGCTTCCTTCGCAAGAAATATAAGAAGTATATGAATCGGAAGTAAGTCTTTTTAACATTTTATTATAAATTCCATTAAAATATTTTAGAATGCACTAATTTCTTCTTTCTCTTTGTTATCTCCCAGTCGGCACTACAAATCTCTCAAACCACTGCTGAGACCTCACAACTGCTACATCTGTGGGTCACGTTTCCTCACTCTAGAAGACCTGCGCTTCCACATCGACTCACATGAAGGCAATGATCCGGAGCTCTTCAAGTGCCTGCAGTGCAACTATCGCTGCAAGCGCTGGTCCTCGCTCAAGGTCAGTTGCAATAAAACAGATCACAACACACTCAAGTTAACCTCAGTTTATTTGCATGTTTCCACAGTTTCCTAAAACATTTTTTTTTTACAGGAGCACATGTTCAACCACGAGGGCACCAAGCCATTCAAATGTGAGGAGTGTGATTACACAAGCGTGTACAAGAAAGATGTTATTCGGCATTCGGCAGTCCACAACAAAGAGCGGTATGAGCGTCGCAACTGTGGTCAAACTCAGTTATTCCTGAAAAAGAACATGTTCATAAAGTTTTCTGTTGACGATATAACTGATTATTTCTCTTTCCTCTTGCAGGAAAAGGAAGACAGAGTCGGTAAGAATTTATATTTGAATGCCATCTACAATACTTATTGGCATATATGTGGTTTAAGAATAATTCTACAAAATAATCTGACAGAATTTCAGTTTCTGTTGTTTGCTGGTTGCTACTTACTGTAAGAGGTCAGCATTGTGATTTTTAGTCTGATTATTGCAGGTGCCGAAGGCGTCGGAGTTCCCCTGCCCTGTGTGTCACAGGGTGTATCCCATGCAAAAGAGACTTACTCAGCACTTAAAAACCCACAGCTCAGAGAAACCACACATGTGCGATAAGGTCAGAAAGAGGATTATGCAGTTCAAGAACTATTCTTTTCATATTCTTATCATTTTAAATTAAATATGGCAACTCAAACAAACAAAAAAGAGGGTAATCTCACTATCTCACAGAGGTGTGTCACCAGTACTAATGAATATTCTCTCCTGCTTTCTTCTTCCACTAGGAAGTTCGCTTACTTTCTTGTTTAAGATGCCTTTCTGTCTTTGCAGTGTGGAAAATCCTTCAAGAAGCGTTACACTTTCAAAATGCACCTCCTAACCCACATCCAGAGTCTTGAGGACAACAAGTCAGTACTCAGACTTCTATTCCTCCTCTTTTACTCTGTCATCTACCAGTCAGTCTTCTTTTAAAAACAAGGCTATCACAATGGTTAATAGTTTTTGATAGAATAAATAATTTAGGTGTGAGTGTGATATCATAACTAATGCCCCTCTGGTGTTAATGTGACAGGTTCAAATGTGAGTTTTGTGACTACACTTGTGACAACAAGAAGCTGCTGCTCAACCATCAGCTGTCCCACACCAACGACAGGCCTTTTAAGTGCGACTACTGTAAATACTCTACTTCCAAAGAGGAGTTTCTCGTCTCCCATCTGGCCATCAAACACACAGGTCAGTGCAGCAGAAAGACAATAACGCTAAATTTAAACAGCTTGAGTTTAAATTCACCTATTGAATTCACTTATTGATGTTGTGTGTTTTTTAAATTTCTCCAGGCGAGAAGCCTTTCTCCTGTGATATGTGTCACTTCATGACTAAGCACAGGAAGAACCTGCGCCTTCATGTGCAGTGTCGCCACGCTGAGGCATTTGAAGAGTGGTCTTTGGCTCACCCTGAAGAGCCTGTAAAGACGCGGCGCAGACCTTTCTTCACCCTGCAGCAAATAGAAGAGTTGAAACAGCAACATGAAGACACACAGAGCTTGCAGAACACTATTGTAAGTTTGATTTGTTGTTATCTTGTGTTACTTTTATGCCAATGGGGGGTGAGAAGGGAAAAAAACATGAAAATAACAAAATAATGAGATTGTATATTGTTGTTGTTTTTTTTATTTGTAAATGTCCATATGCATGAAAATTCAGCAATTTGCAAAATTTAGAAATATTATTTACTCTTAAAGAATAACCATAGTTTTTGTTTTATTTTTTCTTTCTGTCTTTATTTCTTTTTTTTAACATGATCTTATTAGGTCACTGTGGATTCTGCAACACTGCAAGCCATGCAGGGCATGGAAAACGCCTCAGTGTCCCAGGACGCTTTGGGAAACACCACGATCATCTATGAACAAGGTCAGTAAGGATTTCTCTGAAAACATATTAAATATTTATGGTGTTATATATATAACCTGAATGACAAGCTCTGAACTTTTCTCCATGTGCTTCTCCTCAGCTGAATCCAGCGACCTATCTGCTCAGAATGCCCTGGACCTACTGCTGAATATGAGCAATGCACGGGAGCTGGTTGGGAACTCCTTACAGGTCAGCTCATCAAAATTTCAGAACGGTTACATGAAAGATAGCATTGTATTCTATAAAATAAACGAAAAAATAATAACGGTAAAATATATCTTGATTGTTTTTCACAGGTAGCAGTGCTGAAGTCAGATGGAAAAGCTTTGGAGAAGGGAACATGGAGCACGGTGACAGCAGCGTCCGGTCAGGCCCAAAAGATCTTGACCTTCCATGTTTCTGAGAATGGCGAGACAGTGCTACAAGAGGCCTACGAGGCTGCCACCTCTGAAACAGGCGAGCTTACCCACATCGCCATTGAAGGCTATGAGGGGGGAGGGGACTTCAGTGTGGTGGAGCAGGCAGCTGAAGAAATCCGTAGTCCTGGATATAGGTAACATAGCACACACAGTCCAATTTGTAGCTTATGTTCAAATATTTCATAAGCAAGAGATTACTTTCATATTAAGGACATTTTGGTGTCTCAGCAGTTTCTAATCTTATTAAACTGCTTTCTTTTCAGTAATGTGGAGTCTAGCCCCTCTCAAGCTTTAGAGGTTTCTGGGTCAGAGAGCTTGAAAAGTGACAAGTATTATCTTACATCAGCACTGGCTGATGGTGTATTGCAACAAGTGGAGGTAACTAGCAACTGTAGTTTATACCATAAACAGATTTACTATCTCTGTCTTCCACTCCTTGACTGTGTTGTCTGTTCTCCGTTAGCTGAGCAGCGAAGCTCCAGCTTCTCCCTCTGCAGTGGGCTCTCCCAGTCTCACTACCAAGAGGTTTTCCTGTCGAATCTGCATGGAGTCTTTCCATGGACGCTCGGACATGGAGAACCACAAGAGGGCGCACGTGGATGCCAATACTTTTAAGTGTCCTGACTGTGACTTCACCTCCACCTCCTGGCCTGAGGTCAAGGTGAGTCCTTCCAAACCCCAGATTTATCAGTGGAAAGTTGGCCAACGTTAGCTAGATTTTTCCACTGGAGGCAGTGATGACAATTAAAATTGATAAACAGCTTCATATTAACTCATTCACTGCCATTGACGTCTATAGACGTCAATTGGCCATTGGCAGTGAATGGGTTTAACTCATTCACTGCCAATGGCTGGCAGTGAATGAGTTAATATAAATGGGGTAAAAAAACAATAATTGAGAGGTGTACACCCCCATATTCATTTAGTTTGACATTTATACTCTGAGCCATTTTAATGACATTTGAAAAACATCTCGCTCTAACTTTTGCTCCTTTGAATTGTGATTAATGTTCTGTTTTGTGTTAGACCCACATGGGACAGCACTCCTACCTGCGTCCTCACAAGTGTCCAAACTGCAGCTTTGCCTCCAAGAACAAGAAAGACCTACGCAGACACATGATGACGCACACCAATGAGAAACCATTTTCTTGCAAACTTTGTGGACAAAGGTGGGAGCATCTAACACATCTGTATTCATTAGGCATTAGAGGTACAGAACAGCTATTAATGTGAGTGTTTTTTGTTTTTTTTAACTCAGGTTTAACCGCAATGGCCATCTGAAGTTTCACATGGAGCGTCTTCACAATCAGGATAATCCTGCTCGCAAAAGTCGAACTACTGCGTCTCAGCAAACTATAATAGTTAACAGCGATGAGGAGGCATTAGCCACACTACAGTGTAAGAAACACAGGATCATACAAGCCAAGACTTACAGTTTGTGCTTAAAAGTAATAATAACAGTAAACGCAAAGGTGTCAGTGGTCAGAAGTCCATAAACAGAGGCCTCAGTGTAAAACAGATAAAAAATGAACACAAAGTTAATATATTTTAATGTGTGTATGTGTGTGTACATCAGCCCTGCAGGGACATCAGGCAGTGATCACTCCCGAGCGGCTGCAGGCTCTAGGACAGGAGCACATCATTGTAGCTCAGGAACAAGCACTGTCAGACCAGGTAACAGCTCTCACACAGTACAGCCTATATGTATGTGGTGTACTCTCCAAAATGGATTGATTTTGCACGTGTAACTGCTAAACATTTGATAAATAAGAACCCTTAAATGTGCATTAATCAGGAGGAAGGTGCATACATCCAGCAGATAACCACCATAGACGGTCAGACGGTCCAGCATCTGATGACGGGAGACAACCAGGTGACTGAGGTGAGTTCCATTTTAATCATTCTACCGCTGTGCATGTAAAATGCGTATGCATTAAAATTTTAAGAAACGTGATTTTAAAGTATTTTAATGTATATTTTTTGCTTAAACTTATTGTATAACATGTTTGTATGGCCACCCTTGCTTTTGACTCATGGGTGTCAGTTTATCTCACTTGGTTGAGGTTCAGGGTTTAATTTTGACCCAGTGCCCTTTGCCTTGTGTCTTCCTCCATTATATTTCCCCACTTACCTGTCTGAAAAGCTTTGTTGTCCTATAAAATAAAGGCAAAAAAAAAATGTTTGTACAAAAAGAAGGTCTGATTCTGGCTCCATGCATCAAGATAAATTTGGGGCCTCAGAGGTGGTTTATAGTCTTGTGTGTGATAGAACACAATAATCATGAAAGTGCCTAAGGCTTCTTTGTGGTATTGTATAATCAGTATCAATGTTAGATTTAATCTCACCTTATTTGTCCCATGTTCACTTTCAGGTCCAGTATATCATCTCACAGGATGGAGTTCAACACTTACTTCCTCAAGAGTATGTAGTAGTAGCTGATGGCAACCACATACAGGTAAGTGTTTGACTGCCTAAACGGTGCATATATATGCAGTATTTAATAGTGAGGATATCTGTCTCATTTGTAACTGGTTCTGTGACTGGCCCTCAGATGCCAGACGGACAGATAATCCAGTACGAACATGACAGAACCATTGTCCAGGAGCAACAGGTGAGACAGGTCTAAGATCTAAAACATGCTGAATGGACCTCTGTGTAGGATGGAGTGGGAGCTGTTTGTGAATACTTTATTGGATTTCTCCAATCTTGTTCTCAGTGTGTAATCATCTGTACATCCAAATTTAGAAGCTTTTGTATTTTTAAATTGAAGTGATGGGAACCAGTATCTAACTGGTTACATTGAGCAACTTCACAACTAGTGCAACTGAATCATATACATGGAATTGTCTATAAAGTTAAGTCAAACTTTATAGACAAATGAAATGTCATTATGTCCAAACATAACTCAAATTTAAAAACAAATATAAAAGAGATTATTTAGTCATTTTGGTTTGTGAGCTCAAACTGTTTTGTGTGTATTGTATATGAGTGTAAACTTGTATATAGTTAAACATGTATATTATCTGATTACATGCCAAACTCTGAACATTGATTTGCAAATTGGGCGGGAACAAATAAGTGTAAACTTCATCCTACTCCTTTTCAAGCATAATAATTGTGTGGGATTCAGAGATATTCATGACAACTTGATGTCTTTATCTTGGTTTTTTTGTGTGTGTGTTTACAAAGTTTTTGTTCTTGTAACTCAGTTATTTTCACGTTTGAAATAAACTCTATTCTGTTCTATTTGTAGATTGCTGTAAGTCACGACGGTCAGATCCAGTACCTACCTGTCAGCTCTGATCAACAAATCGTGAATGCTGAAGATCTGGAGGCTGCTGCCCACTCTGCTGTCACAGGTTGGCTCTTATGAGAGTGCTCAGTTGATGTTCAGTTCCAAGTTTTTGGATTTTATGAATTTCTTATAATTTTGTCCCAAATATATGATAAGGTTTCTTCAGGAAAGCCAGTAAGTAATTCCTTAAATGCAGACATTTTTGAAAGTGATAAACAAACATCATCAGTAGGTTTAAAACTTGCCAAAATATAATTTATTTCTAATATTAGCTTCAGTATAAATAAAGCTGAAAAGTATGAACTCTGATCTTTGTTCCTGCAGCCGTAGCAGACGCAGCCATGACACAGACCCAGACAGTCTACACTGAGGCTACACCTGAGCAACTGGAAGAGCTGCAGCAACAGGGCATCCACTATGATGTCATTACTTTCTCCAATGAATAGAGATACAAGTGCACCAAGAGGAGGACCAATACAAACCACTATGAGCTAACAGAACAGTGACCTCAACTTATTTATGCATCTAGCTGGCAGTGAAGTGAAAAAAGGCCTTATCTCCTGCCCAGCATCACCTGCTCGGGGCGGCTGCATCAGTCAAGATCAACAGCTTCTTGTAAATTTCAATTATTGTACGCAGTGCTTCTAATTTATTCATAGGTACTGGAACGTTGGGCTCGTCTCTAATTATTCAAACCGAATTGTGTACATGTGCCCCAACAGCTCCCATTTGCAAGACAATGTTATTAAAAATGATAAAATGGCTTATTTCATGTTATTGAAACTGTCCTAATGAACATTTTAGTTTTTGAATGGAATGAAATGAAAAGGCACGCTTTATTTTTGATGTGTAATCAGATAAGTTAATTAATAAAATGCCACAATATTGTTTTTACATAATATTATGTACATACATTTCGCATGTGTCTTCTGTTGTGCAAAGGAAGACATGTTTTGATTTGATGAGTATAAAGTGTTTAATATGTTCAAAGCTGACACCAAATAAATCACTTTATACATGTATGTAATCCTTAATGTGTCTGCTCAGAATTATTTCATCTTGTCCGTATCTGCTTTAACATATCCTATCTATATAAATGCAATCATTGGCCACTCTATTAGGTACACCTTGCTAGTACAGGGTTGGATCCCTTTGCTGATTTTATTCTTCATAGCATGGATTCAACAAGGTGCTGGGAAAAATTTGAAATTTTCTCCTTGTTGACAGGATCGCATCGCATGGTTGTTGCACATCTGTGATGTAAATCTGTTCCATGACATTCCAAAGGTGCTCTATTGGACTGGGATCTGGTGACTGTAGAGGTCATCTGAGTGCAGTGAGCATGTTGTTATGTTCAAGAACCTTGGGCATGATTTGAGCTTTGTGACAAGTTATGTAGCTTCGTGCTGAGTGTATGTAATATGTTGTATAACAATGCTAACTTATCACATTGGACATATCTATATTGAAAACGCGTCCTGTAGCTTAATACTGGCCCCATCCTTGAACTGCATGAAAATCATATGTTTACACATTGATTTAAATTTCTGGATATTTGGACATTGTTCGTCCTTAGCCGCTAATCCACTCCACAATTTAACCACGCACACAGACACACAAACTTTTCCTATCAGTTAATTTTGGAGTTGCTACAAAGTTTGTAGCAACTCCAAAATTAACCGATGAAAATAGTACATAGGTTAAAGTACCACATGATGTACTGTCAGTGAAAGCTGCACTTGTTTTATTGATAAAGTTAAAGAAAAAAGTCAAAGGCATTAATCATCCATGTAACTGTGTCACTATAAAACACTTTAAAACAGGCTTTAAACAAAGTGATTTTAAGCATTCCACATGAGCTTTTCAAGAATTTGCGTCACTTAAAGCACATTATGTCAGTTTGTTTAAGAAGCAGGGTTGCAGCCATTTCATTATGATGTCACTCTCAAAGATCACAGAGCAGATCACATAGCATTTGTAGAATCAAGAGATCTGGTACAAAGACGTGCATGTGGTGTCTTATTGCACCCCAAAATGATATGTGGCAGGATCTTTTAGTGGTTTTTGTACAGCGGATCAGTTAATTTGTGCGTGCATACCACCCCAAATGTACCTTGCATTCAAGAAAGACCTCAACTGTTACTGGAACATATGGCTCAGCTAAAATGCAGGTCCAGGTTTACAGGCCAGCTGTATTTCTGCTACGTGCACATGGAATTGACACTTCATTGCATATACATTTGCCTCCCGTTCCTTTTGTTGTTTTAGGTTAATACTTTAAAAGGCGATTTAAAAAAATTTAAATAACGTGAGAGTTATGTCAGGTGGCATTGTATGTGTGTGAAAGCTGTACATTTCTCCTCAAATCAATGTTTTGATTCAGTGTGTCAACCCATGTGGTACTTTAAATTACAAAATGAAGGTTTAGAGTGCTGCAGTCTAGTAGGTATTGACTCAAGCAAGATTTAAAAAGCATTACAAGTTGATCATGACCCTAATTCAGAAAGCATTAATTTTTTCCTGCAAAAGAACACAACCTCCAGGCTTTTTCAGCATTGTCAGTTTGTGCAAAGAATCATTTTCCACTACATGTACAACAGGTGAAAAACAAATTAAAATAAACACATTAAACCTCCCAAGTGTTTTTTGTTTAATTGCTATTATTTTTCATTTCCTAAAGATTAATTGAAAGGTCCATGGAGTTTGGAGGGTGAGGACCCAGGAAACCGCAACAAGGAGGAGAGGGACAGAAAATGGCAAGTCGCAAAGGAGGCCTTGGAGACCATGATGAAAATGTCCACCTCACTCAGGCTTTTTGCTTTAGACTTTCCATTCTGGACCAATCTATGTGCAGAAATGTGCCTAAAACCCTGAAAACTGTTAAACTTACCACAGATATTCACTTAGTGTCTATAATAACAACATTTAATAGTTTCATGAATTGTGTTCATCTCATACCCAAACCACCTTTATCAAATTCTACTCTAAATTCTGCTCTAATACAATACCAGTACTCATGACCAGAGTGCACAAATGCAACATTGTTTTTTCATACTTGACAACACAATAAAACACAAGAAAAATCAGAATATGTTTGAGATTAGGATTTTTATTTGATGGTAAATCAATTTTCTTAAAATTTCATTTTGTTTTACTTTGATGCTATAATGGATGATTTTAAAATTCAGTTAAATCTAAGATTATATAGCATCGCAGCAAAACAAGAGTCTCCTCAAGGTGCTTTATAATGTAAGGTGAAAACCCTACAGTATTAGCAGGAAAATACCCAACAATCAAAAGATCCCCTTTGAGCAAGCACTAGGCGACAGTGGGGAGAAAAAACTCCCTTTTAACAGGAAGAAACCTCCAGCAGAACCAGGCTCAAGAGGGGGCGGCCATCTGCTGCGACCGGTTGGGGGTGATGGAGAGACAATATAGGGAGACAAGATGAAATATACTTCTGTTGGCCAATTACATTGTTTTTGAATAAATTATTAAATGCTTCGAGATCTTTAAAGAAGCATTGTAGTGTGTGTGTGTGTGTGTGTGGGGGGGGGGGGGGGGGGGGTGCAGCTGGTCTTTTAGTCATCGCTGCTGCCCCTACAGCAGCTCCTAAACGGCTTCATTAAAGCTTTTCCCACTGCTCGAAAGAACCTTGTAATTTTAGACTTCAGTGGGGGATTGAGTACAACCTCAATAATCATGTCCAGGAGATCCAGAAAAAGTTCATCAAAAGTGTAATCATCTGGTGTAAGAGCCGAATGTACAAACTGATCTGCAGAGTCAAGCTCCTTTATAAGGGCCTTACTCATTTTCTTTAGCATCCGCCGTTTGTTATTTTTAAGAGCACTCAGATATCCTGGGATTCTGACCTTATCTAGAAGCAGATCTGTAAGACGCCTGGTGATCGCTTCGTAATTTTCTATATTCAGATAGTTTGTGTCGAAAAGACATTTCTCCAGGAGCTCATCTAACAGACAGTTACTGAAGTCTCTGACAATTTTCTCAGACTCCTCCTGTAAGTTTTCAGAGGTTGATGGCTGACTTTGAGCTTCTGTAAGCCCAGCTTCAGTGATTGGTTCAGGCTCAGGGCTGTTTTCTGGGGGTGGGCCCTGCTCTAGTACACTCACGCAGGAGACTGTTTCATTTTTGGGAGGACAATCTGGACGTGACTCTGGTTCAGACAGTCTGTCATTTTCTTTTTGCTCTGTTGGAGTCAGTGCTCTTAAAATCACATCCTGGATGTCTCCCACGGCACCAGAAATCTTGTCACTTTGAACAGTTTGATCCAAAGCATCATTCTCTAACCACAGAAGAGTGTTTTGCAAAAACTTTTGCACTGAGTCTTCTACAGTCACATAGAGGACCTCGGGCGAAAAGGGTAACTCATCTGTTGGCTCTGCAGACCTAGAGATGACAGAGTCTGAAAGACATTTTCCTGATAGCATCACAGGGAGTACATATCTTTCAGTTGACTGGAGATGGTCATACACTTTATCTGTCAACTCCCTGGAAAACATCTCAATTTCCTTTATCCTTTCCAGGGGGTTCCAGATACGGTTCAAATGTTCTGGCCCGTTTAATTTATTAAACATTTGTTCAAGAACAGGTTTGATGGTGTTATAATCAACTGGGGAAGAACTCTTAAACATGCTATCCATCACTGGTGTGTTTACATAGCTACAAAAAGAACTGTAGCTGTCCATACAATCTGCTCTCTGATCATCAAGAGACTTGACCGGTTCGTGGAGACAGATGAAGAACCTTTTGTTTTTCTTCACCAGGTGTTTTATCTCTCTGATCATTTTGTAAAACTGCTTTTTGGCAAAAGCGCAGAAGTGGTCTTTGTGCAGCTTTTGGTCATTGCTTTTTCTGGATGGGATGCATGACGTGAAAAAGTTTTTCACCTTTTGGATATTTAACTGCACATTAAAAGCAGATTCGCGTGAGTCACATTTCTCACTAGATGTGACATCTTCACCATCAAAAGACTGCAGATTATCAATTATTGTCATTACAATGTCAGCTGCAGCTATTTCTGCTGGCGTGCTGGGACGCTGGAGACTTTCAGCTGTCTCAGCATCTGTGCACTTCTCTATTTCTGTGTCATCTTCGGCATTCGAATACTTCAGAGTGTCAAGTATTGCACTGACAACATCAGCCACGATCACTTCACCTGTGGTGCTGGAACGACTTTCCGCCATCTCTCCAGTTTCACTTTCTTTTATCTCTACAGGCGTCATGTCATTTTCATCCTTATTGTCCTCTGTGATTCCTGTGTCTGTGCTCCATTTGGTGAGAGCGCTGCTCACCTCCTCAACAACCATTGCCTTCTCAGAGATCTTTGATTCAGTACTCTCTGAATTAGACGGGCTAGGGGAACTAGCTGCGCCGCCCTTTGACATGCACTGGCTGCTTAGCTTACCTGCACATTTTTCCAAACACGAGGCTGCGTGAGAGACCATGCGTCGAAGGTTTTTTGTGGTTGTCATTTTTCCACTGACATAAACGGCAGGATCTGACCGTAAATCCGGGTTGTTCAAGAGTAGAGTCACAGCTGAGTCGACCTTTTCTGAGATCTCCAATTCAATCAGTTTTGTCAGCTTCTTACTGGACTGACAGTTTTCATGGGGGGTGTTAAGAGCGATGCCAATGCTGGTTGAAAGAGAGTCTCCCAGCGACGGAGCTATTTTTGCCACAGGTATGCTGATACCTGTTTGGGACAATTCGTCTGTCATTAACTCCTGAAGTGTGGGAAGTGCAGATTTCAGGATGCCGCTAGAAACTATCTGAATGATTTCGATTATCATATCAGCCAGTAATGCTTGGAGATCAGAGTCCCAGATTCCCTGTTCAATCATTCCCCATTGTACCTGGGAGAACTGATCGAAACACTTGGTTATAGCTGGTAAAATATGCTCGGGAACAATGGGGATAGAGCCTGTAGTCTGAAATTCAGCCATTGTGGACGTTTCGGTTTCAGTAAAATTATTTGAAGGACTTTGAAAATCTAAGATTCTAGAGTGCGAAGATCGCGGTCTGTACATCTCATTTACTTAACGCTAAGTAGATTGTGAGTCCTGGCGGGTTCTATATATAGGCTCAGTTGACTGTAACGTCACGGGCACGTCAAAGCGTTCGCTTACGTCACAGTCAGGCGATCAAAGCGTTCGCTACTTCACGTCACACGCATGCGCACTGTCTGTGTTTTGAACTCCCACGCACAGGCTTCCCGACTTAAACCACTAATAAATTCTTACATACACATCGTGTTGGTGTAAAATACAGTATCTGGAAGCGAAAGGACATTTAGCCTCGTTATTTACTCTCTTAAAATGCACAACACCCATATATAAAGTAACCGCGTGCGGCATTTTAAGAGAGTAAATATTGACTCAAGCAAGATTTAAAAAGCATTACAAGTTGATCATGACCCTAATTCAGAAAGCATTAATTTTTTCCTGCAAAAGAACACAACCTCCAGGCTTTTTCAGCATTGTCAGTTTGTGCAAAGAATCATTTTCCACTACATGTACAACAGGTGAAAAACAAATTAAAATAAACACATTAAACCTCCCAAGTGTTTTTTGTTTAATTGCTATTATTTTTCATTTCCTAAAGATTAATTGAAAGGTCCATGGAGTTTGGAGGGTGAGGACCCAGGAAACCGCAACAAGGAGGAGAGGGACAGAAAATGGCAAGTCGCAAAGGAGGCCTTGGAGACCATGATGAAAATGTCCACCTCACTCAGGCTTTTTGCTTTAGACTTTCCATTCTGGACCAATCTATGTGCAGAAATGTGCCTAAAACCCTGAAAACTGTTAAACTTACCACAGATATTCACTTAGTGTCTATAATAACAACATTTAATAGTTTCATGAATTGTGTTCATCTCATACCCAAACCACCTTTATCAAATTCTACTCTAAATTCTGCTCTAATACAATACCAGTACTCATGACCAGAGTGCACAAATGCAACATTGTTTTTTCATACTTGACAACACAATAAAACACAAGAAAAATCAGAATATGTTTGAGATTAGGATTTTTATTTGATGGTAAATCAATTTTCTTAAAATTTCATTTTGTTTTACTTTGATGCTATAATGGATGATTTTAAAATTCAGTTAAATCTAAGATTATATAGCATCGCAGCAAAACAAGAGTCTCCTCAAGGTGCTTTATAATGTAAGGTGAAAACCCTACAGTATTAGCAGGAAAATACCCAACAATCAAAAGATCCCCTTTGAGCAAGCACTAGGCGACAGTGGGGAGAAAAAACTCCCTTTTAACAGGAAGAAACCTCCAGCAGAACCAGGCTCAAGAGGGGGCGGCCATCTGCTGCGACCGGTTGGGGGTGATGGAGAGACAATATAGGGAGACAAGATGAAATATACTTCTGTTGGCCAATTACATTGTTTTTGAATAAATTATTAAATGCTTCGAGATCTTTAAAGAAGCATTGTAGTGTGTGTGTGTGTGTGTGTGTGTGTGTGTGTGTGTGTGTGTTCCTGCTAATACTGTAGGGTTTTCACCTTACATTATAAAGCACCTTGAGGAGACTCTTGTTTTGCTGCGATGCTATATAATCTTAGATTTAACTGAATTTTAAAATCATCCATTATAGCATCAAAGTAAAACAAAATGAAATTTTAAGAAAATTGATTTACCATCAAATAAAAATCCTAATCTCAAACATATTCTGATTTTTCTTGTGTTTTATTGTGTTGTCAAGTATGAAAAAACAATGTTGCATTTGTGCACTCTGGTCATGAGTACTGGTATTGTATTAGAGCAGAATTTAGAGTAGAATTTGATAAAGGTGGTTTGGGTATGAGATGAACACAATTCATGAAACTATTAAATGTTGTTATTATAGACACTAAGTGAATATCTGTGGTAAGTTTAACAGTTTTCAGGGTTTTAGGCACATTTCTGCACATAGATTGGTCCAGAATGGAAAGTCTAAAGCAAAAAGCCTGAGTGAGGTGGACATTTTCATCATGGTCTCCAAGGCCTCCTTTGCGACTTGCCATTTTCTGTCCCTCTCCTCCTTGTTGCGGTTTCCTGGGTCCTCACCCTCCAAACTCCATGGACCTTTCAATTAATCTTTAGGAAATGAAAAATAATAGCAATTAAACAAAAAACACTTGGGAGGTTTAATGTGTTTATTTTAATTTGTTTTTCACCTGTTGTACATGTAGTGGAAAATGATTCTTTGCACAAACTGACAATGCTGAAAAAGCCTGGAGGTTGTGTTCTTTTGCAGGAAAAAATTAATGCTTTCTGAATTAGGGTCATGATCAACTTGTAATGCTTTTTAAATCTTGCTTGAGTCAATATTTACTCTCTTAAAATGCCGCACGCGGTTACTTTATGTGACAGGTGAGACCTGGAGATTTGGGACCGCCCCTGGTGGGCGGAGCTGGTCTTCGCTCCTTTCATAAGCGCAGGTGTGGGCAATTGGGTATTCCTTTGCAAACCTGAAGCTGCGGAGTGCTTGGTCCGAGTTGGGCAAGTTGGTGTTTCTTAACTATGAAAGTCTGATACGCGTCCTTCCCCTAAACTTCTGTTAGAACGGTAGGTTACACAAAAATGTACCACTTGAGCTCTGGCTGTTGGCAGAGGTTTACAGTTATTTGCACCCTTGTAGGTGGGAAACATTGCTCCCGTGAGAACGGTATAGTGGACTTCATCGCCACTGACCCACATTTATTAGGGTGTGACACGAACTTGTGGACAGGTAACAAAACCAATTCAGTGGAGGAATATTCCTGTGTTTTATTGTCCAGCTAGTGATCTCCTGTCTTTTATTCACAGAGTACCGAGCTGCTGCTTTGCCAGGTGGATTTCTGGCTGCGGGCAAAGGACCCAACACATCAGTGTGTTTTAATTTGTTTTAAACTGGTGTAAGCCGACAGACTGACTGCTGCGGCTGTCGATGGTTTTGGTTTTTGGTTTTACTTTTTCTGTATCAGTAGGCACCACAGATATTGATCCTTTTAGTATTTTAACCCCTTTATTTATATATATGTATATTGTCGCAGACGGTGAAGGCGCTGCAGGGAAAACAAATCCTTTTTTTTGTCTCCCCGCTTTTGCATGCACAGCGGTGGGCCCGAGTGAAGACGGCACTGAAGATTTGACTTTTTTTCTATAGTGTTTTACCCATTTGGGGTCATGTGTGAGTTGCCGTCCATGTTTAACCTGTGTGCTATGTCGATTTGTTTTTAAACGGTTCCCCGCAGCGCTTGTCCCGTCTCACGCGCAATCGCACAGTTTTATCGTCTCTAATAAGGTAACGTTTTTAATTGGTTTGAGGTGCCGCTGTTACACTGTTTCTTTTATTTTGTATTAAAAAATTAAACTCTTTTAAACTGACTGTGCGCCTACGGCTCTGTCCTATTTTAAATAGGTACCTACCACGGGTCACATTTATATATGGGTGTTGTGCATTTTAAGAGAGTAAATAACGAGGCTAAATGTCCTTTCGCTTCCAGATACTGTATTTTACACCAACACGATGTGTATGTAAGAATTTATTAGCGGTTTAAGTCGGGAAGCCTGTGCGTGGGAGTTCAAAACACAGACAGTGCGCATGCGTGTGACGTGAAGTAGCGAACGCTTTGATCGCCTGACTGTGACGTAAGCGAACGCTTTGACGTGCCCGTGACGTTACAGTCAACTGAGCCTATATATAGACCCCGCCAGGACTCACAATCTACTTAGCATTAAGTAAATGAGATGTACAGACCGCGATCTTCGCACTCTAGAATCTTAGATTTTCAAAGTCCTTCAAATAATTGTACTGAAACAGAAACGTCCACAATGGCTGAATTTCAGACTACAGGCTCTATCCCCATTATTCCCGAGCATATTTTACCAGCTATAACCAAGTGTTTCGATCAGTTCTCCCAGGTACAATGGGGAATGATTGAACAGGGAATCTGGGACTCTGATCTCCAAGCATTACTGGCTGATATGATAATCGAAATCATTCAGATAGTTTCTAGCGGCATCCTGAAATCTGCACTTCCCACACTTCAGGAGTTAATGACAGACGAATTGTCCCAAACAGGTATCAGCATACCTGTGGCAAAAATAGCTCCGTCGCTGGGAGACTCTCTTTCAACCAGCATTGGCATCGCTCTTAACACCCCCCATGAAAACTGTCAGTCCAGTAAGAAGCTGACAAAACTGATTGAATTGGAGATCTCAGAAAAGGTCGACTCAGCTGTGACTCTACTCTTGAACAACCCGGATTTACGGTCAGATCCTGCCGTTTATGTCAGTGGAAAAATGACAACCACAAAAAACCTTCGACGCATGGTCTCTCACGCAGCCTCGTGTTTGGAAAAATGTGCAGGTAAGCTAAGCAGCCAGTGCATGTCAAAGGGCGGCGCAGCTAGTTCCCCTAGCCCGTCTAATTCAGAGAGTACTGAATCAAAGATCTCTGAGAAGGCAATGGTTGTTGAGGAGGTGAGCAGCGCTCTCACCAAATGGAGCACAGACACAGGAATCACAGAGGACAATAAGGATGAAAATGACATGACGCCTGTAGAGATAAAAGAAAGTGAAACTGGAGAGATGGCGGAAAGTCGTTCCAGCACCACAGGTGAAGTGATCGTGGCTGATGTTGTCAGTGCAATACTTGACACTCTGAAGTATTCGAATGCCGAAGATGACACAGAAATAGAGAAGTGCACAGATGCTGAGACAGCTGAAAGTCTCCAGCGTCCCAGCACGCCAGCAGAAATAGCTGCAGCTGACATTGTAATGACAATAATTGATAATCTGCAGTCTTTTGATGGTGAAGATGTCACATCTAGTGAGAAATGTGACTCACGCGAATCTGCTTTTAATGTGCAGTTAAATATCCAAAAGGTGAAAAACTTTTTCACGTCATGCATCCCATCCAGAAAAAGCAATGACCAAAAGCTGCACAAAGACCACTTCTGCGCTTTTGCCAAAAAGCAGTTTTACAAAATGATCAGAGAGATAAAACACCTGGTGAAGAAAAACAAAAGGTTCTTCATCTGTCTCCACGAACCGGTCAAGTCTCTTGATGATCAGAGAGCAGATTGTATGGACAGCTACAGTTCTTTTTGTAGCTATGTAAACACACCAGTGATGGATAGCATGTTTAAGAGTTCTTCCCCAGTTGATTATAACACCATCAAACCTGTTCTTGAACAAATGTTTAATAAATTAAACGGGCCAGAACATTTGAACCGTATCTGGAACCCCCTGGAAAGGATAAAGGAAATTGAGATGTTTTCCAGGGAGTTGACAGATAAAGTGTATGACCATCTCCAGTCAACTGAAAGATATGTACTCCCTGTGATGCTATCGGGAAAATGTCTTTCAGACTCTGTCATCTCTAGGTCTGCAGAGCCAACAGATGAGTTACCCTTTTCGCCCGAGGTCCTCTATGTGACTGTAGAAGACTCAGTGCAAAAGTTTTTGCAAAACACTCTTCTGTGGTTAGAGAATGATGCTTTGGATCAAACTGTTCAAAGTGACAAGATTTCTGGTGCCGTGCGAGACATCCAGGATGTGATTTTAAGAGCACTGACTCCAACAGAGCAAAAAGAAAATGACAGACTGTCTGAACCAGAGTCACGTCCAGATTGTCCTCCCAAAATGAAACAGTCTCCTGCGTGAGTGTACTAGAGCAGGGCCCACCCCCAGAAAACAGCCCTGAGCCTGAACCAATCACTGAAGCTGGGCTTACAGAAGCTCAAAGTCAGCCATCAACCTCTGAAAACTTACAGGAGGAGTCTGAGAAAATTGTCAGAGACTTCAGTAACTGTCTGTTAGATACGCTCCTGGAGAAATGTCTTTTCGACACAAACTATCTGAATATAGAAAATTACGAAGCGATCACCAGGCGTCTTACAGATCTGCTTCTAGATAAGGTCAGAATCCCAGGATATCTGAGTGCTCTTAAAAATAACAAACGGCGGATGCTAAAGAAAATGAGTAAGGCCCTTATAAAGGAGCTTGACTCTGCAGATCAGTTTGTACATTCGGCTCTTACACCAGATGATTACACTTTTGATGAACTTTTTCTGGATCTCCTGGACATGATTATTGAGGTTGCTTTGGATCAAACTGTTCAAAGTGACAAGATTTCTGGTGCCGTGGGAGACATCCAGGATGTGATTTTAAGAGCACTGACTCCAACAGAGCAAAAAGAAAATGACAGACTGTCTGAACCAGAGTCACGTCCAGATTGTCCTCCCAAAAATGAAACAGTCTCCTGCGTGAGTGTACTAGAGCAGGGCCCACCCCCAGAAAACAGCCCTGAGCCTGAACCAATCACTGAAGCTGGGCTTACAGAAGCTCAAAGTCAGCCATCAACCTCTGAAAACTTACAGGAGGAGTCTGAGAAAATTGTCAGAGACTTCAGTAACTGTCTGTTAGATGAGCTCCTGGAGAAATGTCTTTTCGACACAAACTATCTGAATATAGAAAATTACGAAGCGATCACCAGGCGTCTTACAGATCTGCTTCTAGATAAGGTCAGAATCCCAGGATATCTGAGTGCTCTTAAAAATAACAAACAGCGGATGCTAAAGAAAATGAGTAAGGCCCTTATAAAGGAGCTTGACTCTGCAGATCAGTTTGTACATTCGGCTCTTACACCAGATGATTACACTTTTGATGAACTTTTTCTGGATCTCCTGGACATGATTATTGAGGTTGTACTCAATCCCCCACTGAAGTCTAAAATTACAAGGTTCTTTCGAGCAGTGGGAAAAGCTTTAATGAAGCCGTTTAGGAGCTGCTGTAGGGGCAGCAGCGATGACTAAAAGACCAGCTGCACCCCCCCCACACCCACACACACACACACACTACAATGCTTCTTTAAAGATCTCGAAGCATTTAATAATTTATTCAAAAACAATGTAATTGGCCAACAGAAGTATATTTCATCTTGTCTCCCTATATTGTCTCTCCATCACCCCCAACCGGTCGCAGCAGATGGCCGCCCCCTCTTGAGCCTGGTTCTGCTGGAGGTTTCTTCCTGTTAAAAGGGAGTTTTTTCTCCCCACTGTCGCCTAGTGCTTGCTCAAAGGGGATCTTTTGATTGTTGGGTATTTTCCTGCTAATACTGTAGGGTTTTCACCTTACATTATAAAGCACCTTGAGGAGACTCTTGTTTTGCTGCGATGCTAAATAATCTTAGATTTAACTGAATTTTAAAATCATCCATTATAGCATCAAAGTAAAACAAAATGAAATTTTAAGAAAATTGATTTACCATCAAATAAAAATCCTAATCTCAAACATATTCTGATTTTTCTTGTGTTTTATTGTGTTGTCAAGTATGAAAAAACAATGTTGCATTTGTGCACTCTGGTCATGAGTACTGGTATTGTATTAGAGCAGAATTTAGAGTAGAATTTGATAAAGGTGGTTTGGGTATGAGATGAACACAATTCATGAAACTATTAAATGTTGTTATTATAGACACTAAGTGAATATCTGTGGTAAGTTTAACAGTTTTCAGGGTTTTAGGCACATTTCTGCACATAGATTGGTCCAGAATGGAAAGTCTAAAGCAAAAAGCCTGAGTGAGGTGGACATTTTCATCATGGTCTCCAAGGCCTCCTTTGCGACTTGCCATTTTCTGTCCCTCTCCTCCTTGTTGCGGTTTCCTGGGTCCTCACCCTCCAAACTCCATGGACCTTTCAATTAATCTTTAGGAAATGAAAAATAATAGCAATTAAACAAAAACACTTGGGAGGTTTAATGTGTTTATTTTAATTTGTTTTTCACCTGTTGTACATGTAGTGGAAAATGATTCTTTGCACAAACTGACAATGCTGAAAAAGCCTGGAGGTTGTGTTCTTTTGCAGGAAAAAATTAATGCTTTCTGAATTAGGGTCATGATCAACTTGTAATGCTTTTTAAATCTTGCTTGAGTCAATATTTACTCTCTTAAAATGCCGCACACGGTTACTTTATATATGGGTGTTGTGCATTTTAAGAGAGTAAATAACGAGGCTAAATGTCCTTTCGCTTCCAGATACTGTATTTTACACCAACACGATGTGTATGTAAGAATTTATTAGTGGTTTAAGTCGGGAAACCTGTGCGTGGGAGTTCAAAACACAGACAGTGCGCATGCGTGTGACGTGAAGTAGCGAACGCTTTGATCGCCTGACTGTGACGTAAGCGAACGCTTTGACGTGCCCGTGACGTTACAGTCAACTGAGCCTATATATAGACCCCGCCAGGACTCACAATCTACTTAGCATTAAGTAAATGAGATGTACAGACCGCGATCTTCGCACTCTAGAATCTTAGATTTTCAAAGTCCTTCAAATAATTGTACTGAAACAGAAACGTCCACAATGGCTGAATTTCAGACTACAGGCTCTATCCCCATTATTCCCGAGCATATTTTACCAGCTATAACCAAGTGTTTCGATCAGTTCTCCCAGGTACAATGGGGAATGATTGAACAGGGAATCTGGGACTCTGATCTCCAAGCATTACTGGCTGATATGATAATCGAAATCATTCAGATAGTTTCTAGCGGCATCCTGAAATCTGCACTTCCCACACTTCAGGAGTTAATGACAGACGAATTGTCCCAAACAGGTATCAGCATACCTGTGGCAAAAATAGCTCCGTCGCTGGGAGACTCTCTTTCAACCAGCATTGGCATCGCTCTTAACACCCCCCATGAAAACTGTCAGTCCAGTAAGAAGCTGACAAAACTGATTGAATTGGAGATCTCAGAAAAGGTCGACTCAGCTGTGACTCTACTCTTGAACAACCCGGATTTACGGTCAGATCCTGCCGTTTATGTCAGTGGAAAAATGACAACCACAAAAAACCTTCGACGCATGGTCTCTCACGCAGCCTCGTGTTTGGAAAAATGTGCAGGTAAGCTAAGCAGCCAGTGCATGTCAAAGGGCGGCGCAGCTAGTTCCCCTAGCCCGTCTAATTCAGAGAGTACTGAATCAAAGATCTCTGAGAAGGCAATGGTTGTTGAGGAGGTGAGCAGCGCTCTCACCAAATGGAGCACAGACACAGGAATCACAGAGGACAATAAGGATGAAAATGACATGACGCCTGTAGAGATAAAAGAAAGTGAAACTGGAGAGATGGCGGAAAGTCGTTCCAGCACCACAGGTGAAGTGATCGTGGCTGATGTTGTCAGTGCAATACTTGACACTCTGAAGTATTCGAATGCCGAAGATGACACAGAAATAGAGAAGTGCACAGATGCTGAGACAGCTGAAAGTCTCCAGCGTCCCAGCACGCCAGCAGAAATAGCTGCAGCTGACATTGTAATCACAATAATTGATAATCTGCAGTCTTTTGATGGTGAAGATGTCACATCTAGTGAGAAATGTGACTCACGCGAATCTGCTTTTAATGTGCAGTTAAATATCCAAAAGGTGAAAAACTTTTTCACGTCATGCATCCCATCCAGAAAAAGCAATGACCAAAAGCTGCACAAAGACCACTTCTGCGCTTTTGCCAAAAAGCAGTTTTACAAAATGATCAGAGAGATAAAACACCTGGTGAAGAAAAACAAAAGGTTCTTCATCTGTCTCCACGAACCGGTCAAGTCTCTTGATGATCAGAGAGCAGATTGTATGGACAGCTACAGTTCTTTTTGTAGCTATGTAAACACACCAGTGATGGATAGCATGTTTAAGAGTTCTTCCCCAGTTGATTATAACACCATCAAACCTGTTCTTGAACAAATGTTTAATAAATTAAACGGGCCAGAACATTTGAACCGTATCTGGAACCCCCTGGAAAGGATAAAGGAAATTGAGATGTTTTCCAGGGAGTTGACAGATAAAGTGTATGACCATCTCCAGTCAACTGAAAGATATGTACTCCCTGTGATGCTATCGGGAAAATGTCTTTCAGACTCTGTCATCTCTAGGTCTGCAGAGCCAACAGATGAGTTACCCTTTTCGCCCGAGGTCCTCTATGTGACTGTAGAAGACTCAGTGCAAAAGTTTTTGCAAAACACTCTTCTGTGGTTAGAGAATGATGCTTTGGATCAAACTGTTCAAAGTGACAAGATTTCTGGTGCCGTGGGAGACATCCAGGATGTGATTTTAAGAGCACTGACTCCAACAGAGCAAAAAGAAAATGACAGACTGTCTGAACCAGAGTCACGTCCAGATTGTCCTCCCAAAAATGAAACAGTCTCCTGCGTGAGTGTACTAGAGCAGGGCCCACCCCCAGAAAACAGCCCTGAGCCTGAACCAATCACTGAAGCTGGGCTTACAGAAGCTCAAAGTCAGCCATCAACCTCTGAAAACTTACAGGAGGAGTCTGAGAAAATTGTCAGAGACTTCAGTAACTGTCTGTTAGATGAGCTCCTGGAGAAATGTCTTTTCGACACAAACTATCTGAATATAGAAAATTACGAAGCGATCACCAGGCGTCTTACAGATCTGCTTCTAGATAAGGTCAGAATCCCAGGATATCTGAGTGCTCTTAAAAATAACAAACAGCGGATGCTAAAGAAAATGAGTAAGGCCCTTATAAAGGAGCTTGACTCTGCAGATCAGTTTGTACATTCGGCTCTTACACCAGATGATTACACTTTTGATGAACTTTTTCTGGATCTCCTGGACATGATTATTGAGGTTGTACTCAATCCCCCACTGAAGTCTAAAATTACAAGGTTCTTTCGAGCAGTGGGAAAAGCTTTAATGAAGCCGTTTAGGAGCTGCTGTAGGGGCAGCAGCGATGACTAAAAGACCAGCTGCACCCCCCCCCCACACACACACACACACTACAATGCTTCTTTAAAGATCTCGAAGCATTTAATAATTTATTCAAAAACAATGTAATTGGCCAACAGAAGTATATTTCATCTTGTCTCCCTATATTGTCTCTCCATCACCCCCAACCGGTCGCAGCAGATGGCCGCCCCCTCTTGAGCCTGGTTCTGCTGGAGGTTTCTTCCTGTTAAAAGGGAGTTTTTTCTCCCCACTGTCGCCTAGTGCTTGCTCAAAGGGGATCTTTTGATTGTTGGGTATTTTCCTGCTAATACTGTAGGGTTTTCACCTTACATTATAAAGCACCTTGAGGAGACTCTTGTTTTGCTGCGATGCTATATAATCTTAGATTTAACTGAATTTTAAAATCATCCATTATAGCATCAAAGTAAAACAAAATGAAATTTTAAGAAAATTGATTTACCATCAAATAAAAATCCTAATCTCAAACATATTCTGATTTTTCTTGTGTTTTATTGTGTTGTCAAGTATGAAAAAACAATGTTGCATTTGTGCACTCTGGTCATGAGTACTGGTATTGTATTAGAGCAGAATTTAGAGTAGAATTTGATAAAGGTGGTTTGGGTATGAGATGAACACAATTCATGAAACTATTAAATGTTGTTATTATAGACACTAAGTGAATATCTGTGGTAAGTTTAACAGTTTTCAGGGTTTTAGGCACATTTCTGCACATAGATTGGTCCAGAATGGAAAGTCTAAAGCAAAAAGCCTGAGTGAGGTGGACATTTTCATCATGGTCTCCAAGGCCTCCTTTGCGACTTGCCATTTTCTGTCCCTCTCCTCCTTGTTGCGGTTTCCTGGGTCCTCACCCTCCAAACTCCATGGACCTTTCAATTAATCTTTAGGAAATGAAAATAATAGCAATTAAACAAAAAACACTTGGGAGGTTTAATGTGTTTATTTTAATTTGTTTTTCACCTGTTGTACATGTAGTGGAAAATGATTCTTTGCACAAACTGACAATGCTGAAAAAGCCTGGAGGTTGTGTTCTTTTGCAGGAAAAAATTAATGCTTTCTGAATTAGGGTCATGATCAACTTGTAATGCTTTTTAAATCTTGCTTGAGTCAATATTTACTCTCTTAAAATGCCGCACGCGGTTACTTTATATATGGGTGTTGTGCATTTTAAGAGAGTAAATAACGAGGCTAAATGTCCTTTCGCTTCCAGATACTGTATTTTACACCAACACGATGTGTATGTAAGAATTTATTAGCGGTTTAAGTCGGGAAGCCTGTGCGTGGGAGTTCAAAACACAGACAGTGCGCATGCGTGTGACGTGAAGTAGCGAACGCTTTGATCGCCTGACTGTGACGTAAGCGAACGACACAGAGATAGAGAAGTGCACAGATGCTGAGACAGCTGAAAGTCTCCAGCGTCCCAGCACGCCAGCAGAAATAGCTGCAGCTGACATTGTAATGACAATAATTGATAATCTGCAGTCTTTTGATGGTGAAGATGTCACATCTAGTGAGAAATGTGACTCACGCGAATCTGCTTTTAATGTGCAGTTAAATATCCAAAAGGTGAAAAACTTTTTCACGTCATGCATCCCATCCAGAAAAAGCAATGACCAAAAGCTGCACAAAGACCACTTCTGCGCTTTTGCCAAAAAAGCAGTTTTACAAAATGATCAGAGAGATAAAACACCTGGTGAAGAAAACAAAAGGTTCTTCATCTGTCTCCACGAACCGGTCAAGTCTCTTGATGATCAGAGAGCAGATTGTATGGACAGCTACAGTTCTTTTTGTAGCTATGTAAACACACCAGTGATGGATAGCATGTTTAAGAGTTCTGCTAAATGTCCTTTCGCTTCCAGATACTGTATTTTACACCAACACGATGTGTATGTGTAACGGAGCGGAAAGGCTGATTTTATTTCCACAGTGTCGTTTTTTAAAGGAAGGAAACCTTCCTCCAAACGGACAGAGCAGTGGAGCCGCCAAGGGAAAGCACACGATTAAAAAACTGTATAATTAAAATATAATTTATTATATTTAAATAGTTAAAAATGCAAAATGAATTAAAACAACCTTGGCCAAGGGGTAACACAATAAAAAGCAATAAAACACAACATTAAAAGTCCAGTGGCATCCGCCACGATATAAAAGTCACAAAGAACTAAAAAAGTCCAGCGAAGTGATGTAAAAGGGAAACCCAGCGGAGTCCTCGCCTTCCTCCCCGCATTCCGCGTCCTGGTACGCTGAAGAAAGGGAGGGAGCGGCAGTCACTATTCTTTTCGGCAATTTTCATTCAATAAAAGGGGCTAAGTCGAAGACTTACCCCGGGTGGGCAGAGCTCTCAACTCCGCCCGCCGCTTCTTTAAAACTGCAAGTCGGCACCAGCTGTCTCGCCGCCTCTGCTCTCCCGCAGTGCACAAGCTGGGCTCTCGTTACTACTGCCGTCCGCCTGTTCGCTCCGCGTCCCTAGTCGCTGGTGCTGTCCGTCCTTTCCTAACGCCCAGCTCCACCAGCCCCTTCGGCTTGCAGGCGCTGCCGCCTGGCATCACTTACTCCTGGCCGTCTCTCAAGCCTCTCGGTCGAACCCCTTCCTTTGGTCTGCCAGGCCCTCTTATTGGCCTCTCTGGGATCTCTCGCAGGTGTGATCAGTTTATTATCAGGTAGGGGCGGAGTCTTTCCAGGACAAGTCATCAAATAAATACCATTAAAACATGCAGTAAAACTCATAAAAATAAGCCAGTGTACAATATTAAAATATTAAAAAGGTAAAACACAGCAAAACATGCATAGTAGAAAAACTTAGATAACTTGTCCCTTTCCACCCTGTGACATCTGTAAGAATTTATTAGCGGTTTAAGTCGGGAAGCCTGTGCGTGGGAGTTCAAAACACAGACAGTGCGCATGCGTGTGACGTGAAGTAGCGAACGCTTTGATCGCCTGACTGTGACGTAAGCGAACGCTTTGACGTGCCCGTGACGTTACAGTCAACTGAGCCTATGTATAGACCCCGCCAGGACTCACAATCTACTTAGCATTAAGTAAATGAGATGTCCAGACCGCGATCTTCGCACTCTAGAATCTTAGATTTTCAAAGTCCTTCAAATAATTGTACTGAAACAGAAACGTCCACAATGGCTGAATTTCAGACTACAGGCTCTATCCCCATTATTCCCGAGCATATTTTACCAGCTATAACCAAGTGTTTCGATCAGTTCTCCCAGGTACAATGGGGAATGATTGAACAGGGAATCTGGGACTCTGATCTCCAAGCATTACTGGCTGATATGATAATCGAAATCATTCAGATAGTTTCTAGCGGCATCCTGAAATCTGCACTTCCCACACTTCAGGAGTTAATGACAGACGAATTGTCCCAAACAGGTATCAGCATACCTGTGGCAAAAATAGCTCCGTCGCTGGGAGACTCTCTTTCAACCAGCATTGGCATCGCTCTTAACATCCCCCATGAAAACTGTCAGTCCAGTAAGAAGCTGACAAAACTGATTGAATTGGAGATCTCAGAAAAGGTCGACTCAGCTGTGACTCTACTCTTGAACAACCCGGATTTACGGTCAGATCCTGCCGTTTATGTCAGTGGAAAAATGACAACCACAAAAAATCTTCGACGCATGGTCTCTCACGCAGCCTCGTGTTTGGAAAAATGTGCAGGTAAGCTAAGCAGCCAGTGCATGTCAAAGGGCGGCGCAGCTAGTTCCCCTAGCCCGTCTAATTCAGAGAGTACTGAATCAAAGATCTCTGAGAAGGCAATGGTTGTTGAGGAGGTGAGCAGCGCTCTCACCAAATGGAGCACAGACACAGGAATCACAGAGGACAATAAGGATGAAAATGACATGACGCCTGTAGAGATAAAAGAAAGTGAAACTGGAGAGATGGCGGAAAGTCGTTCCAGCACCACAGGTGAAGTGATCGTGGCTGATGTTGTCAGTGCAATACTTGACACTCTGAAGTATTCGAATGCCGAAGATGACACAGAAATAGAGAAGTGCACAGATGCTGAGACAGCTGAAAGTCTCCAGCGTCCCAGCACGCCAGCAGAAATAGCTGCAGCTGACATTGTAATCACAATAATTGATAATCTGCAGTCTTTTGATGGTGAAGATGTCACATCTAGTGAGAAATGTGACTCACGCGAATCTGCTTTTAATGTGCAGTTAAATATCCAAAAGGTGAAAAACTTTTTCACGTCATGCATCCCATCCAGAAAAAGCAATGACCAAAAGCTGCACAAAGACCACTTCTGCGCTTTTGCCAAAAAGCAGTTTTACAAAATGATCAGAGAGATAAAACACCTGGTGAAGAAAAACAAAAGGTTCTTCATCTGTCTCCACGAACCGGTCAAGTCTCTTGATGATCAGAGAGCAGATTGTATGGACAGCTACAGTTCTTTTTTTAGCTATGTAAACACACCAGTGATGGATAGCATGTTTAAGAGTTCTTCCCCAGTTGATTATAACACCATCAAACCTGTTCTTGAACAAATGTTTAATAAATTAAACGGGCCAGAACATTTGAACCGTATCTGGAACCCCCTGGAAAGGATAAAGGAAATTGAGATGTTTTCCAGGGAGTTGACAGATAAAGTGTATGACCATCTCCAGTCAACTGAAAGATATGTACTCCCTGTGATGCTATCGGGAAAATGTCTTTCAGACTCTGTCATCTCTAGGTCTGCAGAGCCAACAGATGAGTTACCCTTTTCGCCCGAGGTCCTCTATGTGACTGTAGAAGACTCAGTGCAAAAGTTTTTGCAAAACACTCTTCTGTGGTTAGAGAATGATGCTTTGGATCAAACTGTTCAAAGTGACAAGATTTCTGGTGCCGTGCGAGACATCCAGGATGTGATTTTAAGAGCACTGACTCCAACAGAGCAAAAAGAAAATGACAGACTGTCTGAACCAGAGTCACGTCCAGATTGTCCTCCCAAAAATGAAACAGTCTCCTGCGTGAGTGTACTAGAGCAGGGCCCACCCCCAGAAAACAGCCCTGAGCCTGAACCAATCACTGAAGCTGGGCTTACAGAAGCTCAAAGTCAGCCATCAACCTCTGAAAACTTACAGGAGGAGTCTGAGAAAATTGTCAGAGACTTCAGTAACTGTCTGTTAGATACGCTCCTGGAGAAATGTCTTTTCGACACAAACTATCTGAATATAGAAAATTACGAAGCGATCACCAGGCGTCTTACAGATCTGCTTCTAGATAAGGTCAGAATCCCAGGATATCTGAGTGCTCTTAAAAATAACAAACAGCGGATGCTAAAGAAAATGAGTAAGGCCCTTATAAAGGAGCTTGACTCTGCAGATCAGTTTGTACATTCGGCTCTTACACCAGATGATTACACTTTTGATGAACTTTTTCTGGATCTCCTGGACATGATTATTGAGGTTGCTTTGGATCAAACTGTTCAAAGTGACAAGATTTCTGGTGCCGTGGGAGACATCCAGGATGTGATTTTAAGAGCACTGACTCCAACAGAGCAAAAAGAAAATGACAGACTGTCTGAACCAGAGTCACGTCCAGATTGTCCTCCCAAAATGAAACAGTCTCCTGCGTGAGTGTACTAGAGCAGGGCCCACCCCCAGAAAACAGCCCTGAGCCTGAACCAATCACTGAAGCTGGGCTTACAGAAGCTCAAAGTCAGCCATCAACCTCTGAAAACTTACAGGAGGAGTCTGAGAAAATTGTCAGAGACTTCAGTAACTGTCTGTTAGATGAGCTCCTGGAGAAATGTCTTTTCGACACAAATTATCTGAATATAGAAAATTACGAAGCGATCACCAGGCGTCTTACAGATCTGCTTCTAGATAAGGTCAGAATCCCAGGATATCTGAGTGCTCTTAAAAATAACAAACAGCGGATGCTAAAGAAAATGAGTAAGGCCCTTATAAAGGAGCTTGACTCTGCAGATCAGTTTGTACATTCGGCTCTTACACCAGATGATTACACTTTTGATGAACTTTTTCTGGATCTCCTGGACATGATTATTGAGGTTGTACTCAATCCCCCACTGAAGTCTAAAATTACAAGGTTCTTTCGAGCAGTGGGAAAAGCTTTAATGAAGCCGTTTAGGAGCTGCTGTAGGGGCAGCAGCGATGACTAAAAGACCAGCTGCACCCCCCCCCACACACACACACACACACACTACAATGCTTCTTTAAAGATCTCGAAGCATTTAATAATTTATTCAAAACAATGTAATTGGCCAACAGAAGTATATTTCATCTTGTCTCCCTATATTGTCTCTCCATCACCCCCAACCGGTCGCAGCAGATGGCCGCCCCCTCTTGAGCCTGGTTCTGCTGGAGGTTTCTTCCTGTTAAAAGGGAGTTTTTTCTCCCCACTGTCGCCTAGTGCTTGCTCAAAGGGGATCTTTTGATTGTTGGGTATTTTCCTGCTAATACTGTAGGGTTTTCACCTTACATTATAAAGCACCTTGAGGAGACTCTTGTTTTGCTGCGATGCTATATAATCTTAGATTTAACTGAATTTTAAAATCATCCATTATAGCATCAAAGTAAAACAAAATGAAATTTTAAGAAAATAGATTTACCATCAAATAAAAATCCTAATCTCAAACATATTCTGATTTTTCTTGTGTTTTATTGTGTTGTCAAGTATGAAAAAACAATGTTGCATTTGTGCACTCTGGTCATGAGTACTGGTATTGTATTAGAGCAGAATTTAGAGTAGAATTTGATAAAGGTGGTTTGGGTATGAGATGAACACAATTCATGAAACTATTAAATGTTGTTATTATAGACACTAAGTGAATATCTGTGGTAAGTTTAACAGTTTTCAGGGTTTTAGGCACATTTCTGCACATAGATTGGTCCAGAATGGAAAGTCTAAAGCAAAAAGCCTGAGTGAGGTGGACATTTTCATCATGGTCTCCAAGGCCTCCTTTGCGACTTGCCATTTTCTGTCCCTCTCCTCCTTGTTGCGGTTTCCTGGGTCCTCACCCTCCAAACTCCATGGACCTTTCAATTAATCTTTAGGAAATGAAAAATAATAGCAATTAAACAAAAAACACTTGGGAGGTTTAATGTGTTTATTTTAATTTGTTTTTCACCTGTTGTACATGTAGTGGAAAATGATTCTTTGCACAAACTGACAATGCTGAAAAAGCCTGGAGGTTGTGTTCTTTTGCAGGAAAAAATTAATGCTTTCTGAATTAGGGTCATGATCAACTTGTAATGCTTTTTAAATCTTGCTTGAGTCAATACCTACTAGACTGCAGCACTCTAAACCTTCATTTGTGTAATTTAAAGTACCACATGGGTTGACACACTGAATCAAAACATTGATTTGAGGAGAAATGTACAGCTTTCACACACATACAATGCCACCTGACATAACTCTCACGTTATTTAATTTTTTAAAATCGCCTTTTAAAGTATTAACCTAAAACAACAAAAGGAACGGGAGGCAAATGTATATGCAATGAAGTGTCAATTCCATGTGCACGTAGCAGAAATACAGCTGGCCTGTAAACCTGGACCTGCATTTTAGCTGAGCCATATGTTCCAGTAACAGTTGAGGTCTTTCTTGAATGCAAGGTACATTTGGGGTGGTATGCACGCACAAATTAACTGATCCGCTGTACAAAAACCACTAAAAGATCCCGCCACATATCATTTTGGGGTGCAATAAGACACCACATGCACGTCTTTGTACCAGATCTCTTGATTCTACAAATGCTATGTGATCTGCTCTGTGATCTTTGAGAGTGACATCATAATGAAATGGCTGCAACCCTGCTTCTTAAACAAACTGACATAATGTGCTTTAAGTGACACAAATAGTAATACTGGGAAAATGTTGGTAGCTGTGATCATATGCTTGTCCATACCTGCTGTGAAAACATCCATTCTACACTCATCATAATGTGAGTACGCAGGGGGCTTCTTTCGTTCTAAATTGTTTAGTTAGTAGGGAAGTTACGTCTGTGTCGAGGCCTTTGTCGTTCTTCAGAATGTCATTTAACCAAGTACAACCGAAGCCCCCTTTCTCTTAAACAACGTTACTCCCTCGTTATGTCATTCAAGCTTTTGAAAACACATTACAGAATTCCAGGCAGTGTTTTATGTGATCTGGGTCTGAGGTGATTCCGAGGAGAATGCAAGCACATTATGGAGCCACTAAAAATGTTAAAATTATCAGCATTTTGTGAGCATGTGACATCTTCGCAAAACAATCGTAGAGTGGATGGGTTGTTTCATAAACACACACACACACACACACACACACACACACACACACACACACACACACACACACACACACACACACACACTGGACCTCATACTCATACGGGTATTCTGCAATTGATACATGATTAACGTTCACATACTCACTGATATATCACAGCAGGGCTGTTGTAGAGTGAATGACCAGCAGATGTCAGTATTTCCAAATGAGCTGTTGAATGGGGCTTTGTGTGATCTGTGTTTTGGCGAAGCAATTGGCCGGACAGATTCGACATATTCACAGGGTTTTATCACAGCATCACTAGTACTGTAGTTAGTGTAATGACACCCGATTACAGAAAAAGCAATGTGAATGAATGTGAAACACATAGTCACATCAGACTACAGCAAAACAAATGCAAAAACAAAACAAAACAAAAGATCACGTGAATGTTTCCACGATGAAAAGAAGAAAAGCTTGTTCAGTGATCACTCGAGAGATCCGGGAGTGCTTTACTACTATTGTTTAGTTCATAACAGATTTGGTAAATCAAACTTTGTTTCATTTTTTCTCTCTAGGAGTTTATTCATCTCATATACCTGTTTTTAAGAAACTCTCATGTAGCTTTGGGTTTATGTCCAGGCTCAGTGGGTTTTATAAAAGATCCTTTTCTTGTATTTAAAGTGATTTCATGTTTGTATGCCAGCTTTACTCACAGGAGTGTTCCAAGATTAATTTATCAAACCAACAAATTGTGCAAAAAATTGTATAAATAGTTTTGTGTATTAGAATGAATACAAATCATACTGATACAATGCTTAAAACATTTATTAGACCAGCAGTCATTAATAACAGGAAAGCACAAATATTGTTTTTAAATCTGGCAAAAACTTGTTAAAACTAAAAGTCACAGCCATGGAACTGAATTCATCTTTTTATACCCATATTTTGGCCTGCACACCGGACCAGTCTGAGAATTCAGAAATTAATCAGACATAACATTCAATCATTAAAACAATTTTTTTCCAAAGCAAAATAAATAACTTCCTTAATATTTTTTCCTTTTTTTGTCAAATAGTAAATGTGAAAATTTGTACATTGTATGAGGAGCTTATGGATGCCAGTAGATGAAATAGATACTGTACACTTTTTTTTTGCTGTGAATAAAATCTTGATAGAGTTTCTACCAAATCTGAAAATGTCCACAGTGTGTCAGAGAATAGAACTGAACTGAGATGTTTTGTTTAAAGTAAAAGAAGGAAAAGCATCATCCTCTTTCCTTGTAAACGTGCAGCTCAAGACCAAATAAGGCTGCAGCATTGTCCCCTGTAGTGATAGCACTAATCTAATGCATTTGAAAAAGAATCATAATATGACAAGATTTAGCATCTCTTTTTTCTAATTCATAAAGAGGTTAATGGTTGTGTGTCTCTGTCATGGTTAATCTATACCATAAATGAACTGCTCTGAAATTCATTTGTAACTGCACCAAGACCACTGTCTCAAAAAGCCCCTTTTACATTAGTAATTAATCAGATCGACTCGCCACAGTTTGCCACAGTTTTCAGGGTTTTCCATTATGTCACAGTACCTGGTACTTGGTACTAAATGGTGCCTGCTTGGCCGGGCTTCGAAGAGATCTGAGCAGGTACTAAAATGTGATGAAGTCAGACTGCATGCCACCAACTGATATGTGTATATATATATATGTATATGTATGTGTATATACACATACATATGTATATATAGCTTGGGAGTCATTTGCAGTGACTCCCAAGCTAGGCTAGTGGCTCCAGCAGATCCTGGGAACAACATCGGAGATCTCTGTCCAGAAGAGCGCAGTCCTAGGAACAGCTAAGATCCCCTCAAGCTCCCACGCCTCTGGTAAAGGACCCGAGCTTGAAGGATTGACTGCCCGCAGGGGCGAGCGGGGAATAATATATGTATATATATACTTCAGTTAATAGAAGTTGCCTCCGATGTGGTTTCCTTCTTGGAGTTACTGTTGCTTTCTTTTCACCTTGAAGCAGTCTGGCCTTCTTCCTCTGACCTTTGATATCAGCAACACATTTTCTTCTGAAGAACCTCCGTTTACTGGATATTTTCTCTTACAGATGACTGTGTGGGAAATGCCAGTGGATCAGTGCTTTCTGAAATACTGAAACCAAAACCAACAACCACGCCACATTCAAAGTAAATGCTTGGTTTAAACTTAAGCAAGTATCCTTAAATTTTGACTGTACCATCCAAATGTCTCAGCAGAAATATGTTTTCTCAATACTCTGTTTTCCAGCTTTGGTAAATATTTGTTTTAATGTGCAATATTTTTGGCTCATGTGCAATTATTTTGGTCCCAGTCTGTTTCAATGTTTCCTACACATACACCATGTATATAGTTCCACTCACATATGTATACATATACACTGTTTTTTATTTTATTATATTTATTTAATTATTTATTTATTTATTTATTTTCCGCCTTCGTTGTATATTGGTTTCTCTTCTTCTTACTTTACCTTTGTGGTCCAGCTACCCAAGAAAATGCACAATGAGAATAAAAAGCTCTAAGTAAGTCTAATGACCTCACAAAGTCACTGGCAGGCATAGTTGTAGTTTATGACAGTATAACTTGTTAATGGAAATCACAGTATATGGTAAAATCTTTTAATAGTATTGGAGGCTGAATCACACACACACACACACACACACACACACACACACACACACACACGATGTAATAAACACAAATGTTGCATCAGAAGTGAACTAGTTCGGTTAATCTCCTTGTGTCTTTGTCTGTGCAGTAAAATAAAGTAAAGCTACCAGCATATGTTTCATGTAGTTGGTTTTATTTTATTATTGTAACCATATAAAAAAGCAATAGTACATTTTGTGTTTTGCAAGATTTTAGTCATGCAACTTAATGAGCTGCTAAAGCGATCACATTCTTGTGTAAATGCAAAACTATGAGACAAATGTTCGCTGTTGGATATGAGGTGAAAG